AGGTGCTAGATGTTTTCTTTTATTTATTTTTTCAAACACAGCTCGAAGTTTATAATTTCCTACTTGGTAGGAGGCAAAGAAGCTATTAGGATAGTTAAGAAGGTAGGCATGTGACTTGACAGCAAAGGGTATGGTTCTTGTCTTCTTTTTGGTGGTTTAAAAAAAAACATATATTGGAGTGACATTGGTTAATAAAATTATATAGGTTTCAGTATATAATTCTATAATGCAGCATATGTACATTGTCTTGTGTGTTCACCATCCAAAGTCAAGTCTTTTTCCATCACCATTTATCCCTCCTTTACCCTCTAACACCTCTCCCAGCCCCTTTCCCTCCGGTAATCACTATACTGTTGTCTGTGTCTATGAGGCTTTATTATTTTATTTAAAAAAAATTTTTAAATAAAAAGAATGTGACTACTTCACTTATTGCAGCCTGCTTAATCTATGGGAAAGGGAGGGAGATGGGCTCTACTTCCTAGTATCTTTAGGGGTGTGTGTGTGTGTCTGTGTGTGTCTGTGTGTTGGTGGCAGGAAGGGAAGGAGATGGGCTCTACTTCCTAGTGTCTTTAGGGGTGTGTGTGTGTGTGTGTGTGTGTGTGTGTGTGTGTGTGTGTTGGTGGGGGGAAGGGACCCATGCCATCCAGGAGGGTTTTTTGCCAGGCTTGATGCCTGGTCATTTCCTCATGGCTTCTGAGTCAGATTATATCGATAACAGATGGTGCTGCGATGTTTGGGGCGTTCTGAGTGCCTTCGAGACTCCAATTCTGTGGTCCTGGACAAGAAAGTGAATTCCTTGAAGAAAATACTTCACTGGAGGCCTGTATCAGCCTAGGGAGGACCTGAATGGGGGTCCATGTGTGCTGTATTGAAAGTAAAAAAAACAAAACAAACAAACAAAAAAACCATGAGCTACCGATTGTATTTATACCTGGCCCTGAGGAAGGGGATGGTGTCATTTTTTTCAGACCTGGCTTGAGAGGGCCACAGGACCCACTGTGAAGAATACAGCTGGATAACCCCTAGCAGGAATGCTCAAGGACTTAACGTTGTGATGCATATGGACAGACTGATGTCCATGAGAGAGGAAGGAAGGGCATGTCCATCCTGTAGGATCTGCTCCCTTGTTTGCCATCCAGTAAACATCCAATAAATACCCACTCTTTGCCAAACACAGCTAGGCAGTGAGGATGCAGAAGTTAATCCATCCTCAGGAGCCTGAAGTTTGGAGGAGACTTACACAAACATAGAAGTGCAGCACAGATAAGGGGCCTGACAACCAAAGTACAACCAAAGCCCTGAGGCATGGGCTCCAAGCAAGTCTGGGCTGGGGCATGGGCTGGAGGTCTGAGCTTCTGGATTCTGCCTGACTCAAAAGCCACCCCAACTGTTGCCCCAAGTAGGAAAAGGACCAACAAGAAAGGAGGTGGCTGCTGTGGGCAGTGCTGATAATGCTCCTGCTAAGGTATGCCCAAGGCTGATAAAGCACGTACCACCCCACTGTCCTCCCTCTGCACAGAGCTGTCCCTGTATTGGTGAGGAAAGGCAGCTAGCTGTTCCTCTTTGTTGTTGTTGTTAATCCTCACCTGAGTATATATTTCCATTGATTTTTAGAGAGAGTGGAAATGGGGTGAGGGGCATGAAAAGAGTTCAATTGGTTGCCTCCTACACACATCCTAACCGCCCCCAGGGATCGAACCTGCAACACAGGTACATGCCCTTGACTGGGAATCGAACCCGCAACTTTTTGGTTAGCGTGAGCTTACACTCTAACCACTGAGAAACACCTGCCAGGGCAAGGTAACTATTTTTTGAATTGAAGATTTAAATACAACTTTTGGTATCTTGGGAAAACTACTCCAATGATTCTGGGGAGAAAATCAGAACTCCCAGGCAAAAGGGAAAGTGAGGTTTAAAATGGAAAGAGGAGCCGAAACCGGTTTGGCTCAGTGGACAGAGCGTCGGCCTGCAGACTGAAAGGTCCCAGGTTCGATTCCGGTCGAGGGCATGTACCTTGGTTGCGGGCACATCCCCAGTAGGGGGTGTGCAAGAGGCAGCTGATTGATGATTCTCTCTCATCGATGTTTCTAACTCTCTATCCCTCTCTCTTCCTCTCTGTATTAAAAAAAAATTAAAATTAAAAAAAAATGGAAAGAGGAACCATTGGCCCTGGTGCCAAAGGAGCTTTCAGAGTCAGGCTCCAAATCCCCCCACAGGCAGGATCCTAGAGCAGCAGAGGTCACCCTGCCACCACTGCCACCACTGCCACCACTGAGCATGGCACAGACGATGCTGGCTACCTTCCCAATGGATTCCAGGTGTGGTCACAAACATCAGCCATACTCAGCTCCCAGGACACTCTGCCTGGAAAAAGAGTGGGTGCACAGTCCCAACCACGGGTGCCTCCTGGACAGAAGGAGGGGGTTTGATTAGGATGATGGAAGTCTGCAACAAAGAAAACCTAGTAACTAGTCCCTGGAGGGGGGATGGGAAGAAAGATGACCCTGATCTGCAGCACCAGCGCTTCATCCCCAGCTGCACTCGTGTGGAAGGAAACTCTGCAGCTCTGGGCCTGGGGGAGAACCGACACTCAGGAATACTCACCAAAAAGTGCCGTCCTGGGGAAGGCCAATGTCCCAGGGATACCAGGACACAAGCGAGATGGATCCTTAGATCCAGCCCCAAGTCTTGAAGAACTAAAACAGTCCCCAAAGTGATGCTGCATTCATCTTTAAATAGTTCACAGAAGCAAAAAAAAATTTTTTTTTTAAATGCTCTCTCTCAGAGTACAAAGATTGACAGAGAGGCAGATACACTGGCTTCGGGTCACACAGTAAGTTGGTGTCAGAAAGAAAGGCATCCTTCGCTGTGCCATTTCTAGAGCCTTTGGCTTTTATGGGCCTAAAGGAGAACCAAGAAGGGGCTCTTCTCTAATCCGGGGTTGTGCCAGCTTGGCTAGCCAGGCCCTCGGACCTCGGATGAAGCATCTTTACCAAGGTAGATGGGTCCATGGAGCCAAGCCCTCTCCCTGGCTGCGGCCTCCCCAGGTCATGTGTCTGGTAAGAGCGGGGTGGAACGGAGTGGGGAAGCCCCAGAAAATGACCATGAACACAAGTGCAACAGATGCAGCCAGCTGCTGTCGACACTGGGGAACCCAGATAAGGGTGTGGTGCCAAAGGCTCTGACGGAGATGCAGTCTTGGCTGAGAGGGGAAGTCAGCCTGAGGACCTGAGGTCCTGCGATGTTAGTGCTGGCACTGTCCTCGAGGATGGCATGCCGTTGGCCTGGCACACTCAGGGACAACGTAGGAGGGTTCTCGGGACTTGCCCTTAGGTGGGGAGTTCCCTTTAGGATATCCCCAAGCCAAGGGGTGGTGAGATTTTCTCTCGTTCTCTTCCAATCTGCAGTTGAAGCAGAACCTAGACCATGGGAACCTGGGTTGTCTGGTTAGCTATTAATACTGCAAACACTCTAGTTTCAGTAGCAGCCATCTGGGCCAAGAGCTTCCCCTGGAGGCACTGTGGTTGAGCAGAAAAGTTGTCAGATCAAGCCTACTAACCAGCTGTTGGGCCCTGGATAAAACAATGACCATCTCTGTGCATTAGCTCTCTCATATATATAATAAAATGCAGGTGCTGGACATGCTGTCTTCTAAATTTTCCCCCCCAGTTCTGAACTGATAACTTGTTAAGAGCTCAAACTTCATTTTCCCCAGGACAATGGCTGAGTGTGAGCTGTCATCACCACTCTCCAAGGTCTCTCTTATTTGTCCCAACAGGCTAGCACCTATGTGCTTCTGTGCTTCACATCACAGCCCTTGTGAAACCTTTGCAACAACTGGCTTAGATGCCCGGTCTGCTCTCTCTCCTCAGAAACATGTTTTAGACGCATAATTACTCCCTCCTGCAAGTGTGAACTGTAGGTCTCAGGCAGAGAGGGGCAAGCATAATGGGTACCTAGAGCGGCAGCTCCGGTCCAGCTACAGCCGGAAGAAGAAAGGGGAATGGGGGGGGGGGGTAGAGGTCCCTACATTCCCAGATCCAGAGGGGCCGGGGACTCTGTAGACATGAGACAGGATGGAACTACATTTCACGATCTGGTCCAGCTGGATTCTCCGTTCTGGCAGAGTATTTCTGCCGTCCTTGATCAAACCGGGTTTGATTGTATGGAGGAGGAGACTAAGGCCTACAGGGGTGAACACATTGGCCAACGAAGTCAACAGTTAATGGCAGCGTGGGCATGAGAAGTCAGGCAAGCCCAGTCCCATGCTCTTTCCACTCTTGCACCCCCAAGCAGAAGACTCTGAAAACACCCCTGGCCTTTCAGCCCAGCCTGGAGTCCCATTTAAAGATGCTGGAGACGGGCAGACCCCAGGGGATGGCCTCTGGTCCTGAGAAAGGGGGGCAGAGTTTGGGAAGGCAGCTCGGAAAGACATCCACACCTGGAGGCCCTTCCTGTCCCTTCTCAGCCTTTGAGGCCAGGGGGCACCAGAGGCCTGCAGGAGGAAGAGATAAAAGCCCCTTAACCCATTCTCTCTGAGGTGAGGGGAAGGAAGGTTTGGGTTTTCCCTCTCTCTCACTCTCTCTTTTTTTTTTTTCTTTGCCAGCAGGGCCTCCCAGTCCCCAGGCCTGAAAGTCCCCCAGTCATGACTGTACCAGTGGGTCTGCTTTGGTCCAACAGGAAAGCAGGCAACCCTCTATCTCCCACCTCTTTGGCCTGACACAGACCCTCATCCAATGCCCCGAGAATGCCCATAAGTCTTTCCCGAATCCCTTCCATCCCCTCCACCCAACGCCCCCTCCAGACACGGCGGCGACCCTGGGGTGTCCCTCCCCAGGATGGATCACCCCGAAGTGCCATCAGCCTAGGAAACTAGGGGGTGCCGCTCCCCGCGCCCGCCTGGGACTGGGCATCCCAGGGCGCCCCCTCCCCGGCCGCGGGTGTGGGGGGGGGGGTGCTCTGCAGCCCGGGTGCCCCCGCGACCCCTAGAGAAGACTCACCCAGAAGAGCATATTGAAGAAGAAGAGCAGGTATTTCACCAGCGGGCTGACGAAGGAGAAGTCCTCCCCGTAGGCGGCCGGCGCCCCGGGTCTGCGGGCCATGGTCCCGCCGCCGCCGCCCCGGGGGGCCTATCTCCCCGCGGCGGCCGGCCCACCTGCGCGCCCGGAGCCCGGGGGCATGAGCCGCGCCGCCGCCGCCGGAGCCCGAGCCCGGGGAGCCGCGCCGCGGCCGGGGGCGCCGAGCCCTGCGTCGGCGAGGAGCGCGGGCGGGCGATCGGCGCCGCCACCGCAGCCGCCGGGAGTCGCGCGAGCAGCCGCGGGCAGCGTGAGCGCCGAGACTCCGCGGCCGGAGGACCAGTCCCGCCCGCCCGCCGGGCTCCCGGGAAACCGGGCCCGCCCCCGGCCGCCCATTGGCTCGGCCGCCAGAGCCCGACTTCCCATTGGCGGGCCGCTCCTGTCACTGAGGGTCCTGCCATCCCGCTCCTCCGGGAGGAGGGGGAGACAGACACCTGTTCGGTGAGCGACAACTTGCTGAAGGGTCAGCGGCTCTGTCTGCCTCCTCCCCCCCCGAGAAAGCATCCAGGCTGCAGCTGCCCAAGGGGAGAGGGGAGAGAGGAATGCACCCCGCATCACGTCCTCTGTCCCCTTGCCGTGCACACACACAAACACACATACGTGAAAATCAACAAGTACGGGAGCCCTGAGTTGAGCAATACTCCCAAGGCTGTGGGATATACAGGAGAGGGGAGAGACAATCCAGGGGGTATGGCAATAAAATCAGGGAGACACAGCTAACCTGTAAATGACAATGAGAGAATATTGAAGAGTAGCTGCAATCCTGCGTAGTAACTGTATGTTTTAAATGCTTATTCCTAAGGCTCCATAACCCAATAGCGGATATTTGATAATATCACCAACAATTCTGCCTTCCAAATTCATTACTGTTTCAATCCCCACTTAGAGTCTTGGTGTACACACAGACACCATTTTTAACACGTTGATCTGACACACGCTGTAGGGGGTGGACTCTGTGCTGGCTACCATAAGAACACAAACAAGAATGCTGTAGACTGAATGTTTGTATCCTTCCCCCTTTTCGTGTGTTGAATCCTAACCTCCAAGGTGGTGGCTCTAGGAGACGAGGACTCTGGGAAGTGCTTAGGTCCTGAGAATGGAGCCCTCATGAATGGGGTGAATGCCTTTATAAAAGATACCCTCTCCCCCGCCCCCTCCCCTCCCCCCCGGAGCAGCCTCACCCTGTCTCCATGTAAGAACACTGCGAAAAGATAGCTGCTTACGAAGCAGGAAGTAGACTTTCATCAGACACGGAATCTGTGGGTGCCTTGATCTTGGACTTAGCCTCAAGAACTGTGAGAAATACATTTCTGTTGTTTATAACCCATCCAATGTATGGTATTTTTGTTATGGCAGTCTGAATGGACTGACAATGAGTGTGAGGGAGGAACCTGATTTCACCCTCATCAGCTGCATATCCTGGGCAAGTTCCTTAATCTCCCGAGCCTCAGTTTCTTTAACGTTCAATGAGGAGAGTCAGAGCCTACCAATGCTGATGTGAGGAGTAGGTGAGATAATGCAAACCAGTCACGTAGCACAGGTTGACACATAGAAGGGCTCACTAAATGCAAATTTTTGTTTTAACAGAGTTCAGAATCCAGTAGCAAAATATGATAACCATACAGATAACTCTAACACAGGGTTAGTGACGATATCGTGACAAGTAGAATTAGTTGGGAGGGTGAGATTTAGAATAGCAGAGATGGAGGGAAAATGTAATCCAGGTGGACAGAAGGGTGAACCAAAGCCTGGGGGTTCGGCTGGAGCACAGGCTTCTATAACCGCGGGAGATAATGCCAACTGATGTCAACACAAGTTGAATTGAGTTAAAATAGTGGAAGGACTTGAATATAAGATTGGGGAGTTAGTACTTAACCCATTTGGAAATAAGAGTTTTGAAGAAGGGAATGATGTAAGACTCGCTTTATTTTTTAGTTAGAGAGGGAAAGAGGCTGTGGAGAGAAAGGTTTATTAGGAGACCACTATTATTAATAGTCTAGACATCAACAATTAGGATCTGATTTAGAGGTAATGGATAGCACTGATAGGAAAGGACAGCAGTGAATTCACTAGGAAGAGAGAATCTCCAGGGCTAGCCCATGGTGAGGATAAGGGTACCAGGAACACCAGGCATAGGGGCTAACCAAGTGAGCCAAGGCCAGGTTCTTGGGAGATTGTCCATTAAAAGGTTAGTTAACCACCTGAAGATCAGTTTTAGTATAAAAGGGGGTGGAGGTGGGCAGGAGTCATTTTAAAAAAGGTTGAGGAGTGAGTGATAAACAAAGGATGGATACTCATTTTCAAGTGCTAGGGTGGAGGCAGAAAAAGACCAAGCTGTTGAATGTTCCCATTAGATGACGTCTGAAGATGAGTTTCAGTAAAGACAGGAAGAGGAAGGCAGGTCACAAGAGGTCAAGAAGGGAATGGGGGTGAAATGGAAGCTGTGGATGAAGACTGTGGACACCTCAATCCAGCTTGAAGGTTACAGGAGCTTTAAGGGTCCTTATAACAAGAGGAACATGCCCTTTTAGCCTACAGAAATCTGACAGCTTGTAGACAAAACAAGCCAGTAAAAAGGGGTTGAGGTGGAAGATGGAGGGGACAAGGTTTTGGAGTTAATAGAGAAGAGATGGGATCAGGAGTCAGTGGGATGACCACAGTGCTTACCGTGTGGAAGTCAGCAATGGCGCCTGCTCAGAAGGAAGACATGCAGCTGCAGAACAAAGAATAAAGAAACTCGATGTACTGAGTTGCAACAATCTCCAAGACAAATTATTATTATTATTATTATTATTTTAAATCAATCTTTATTGTTCATATTATTACAAAGGTTCCTCATTTCTTCCCCCTTCCACCAGGTTCTCACCCCACCCTCTGCCCCCTCCCCACCCCCCATTGTCCTCATCCATAGGTGCACAGTTTATGTTCAGTCTCTTCCTCCCTCCCTTCCCCCCGCCTCCCAGAACAGTCAGTCCACTCCCCTCCCATATCGCCGACTCTACTACAATGAACCGCTATTATTGTTCATCAGGTTTTTCAATCTCCTTTTTTTTGTTGTTGTTGTTGTTGTTGTTTTTTTGTTTTGTTTTGTTTTTAAATATATTTTATTGATTTTGTACAGAGAGGAAGGGAGAGAGATAGAGAGTTAGAAACATCGATGAGAGAGTCATCGATCAGCTGCCTCTTGCACACCCCCCCACCGGGGATGTGCCCGCAACCAAGGTACATGCCCTTGACCGGAATCGAACCCAGGACCCTTCAGTCCCCAAGCCGACGCTCTATCCATTGAGCCAAACCAGTCTCGGCTGTTGTTTTTTTTTTGTTGTTTGTTTGTTTGTTTTTAAATTAATAAACGTTTACACTTCTAAGAATAAATTTTAAAATCTAATAATTTTATTTTATTTATTTTAATTTTTAAAAAAATATATTTTATTGATTTCCCCCCCCCTCCTCCCATACATACCCTCTCTCCCCAGAGTTTTATGTCCATTGGTTGTACTTATATGCATGTACACAAGTCCTTCGGTTGATCTATTATCTCCCCCAGATCTTCCTCCCCTCCCCACTGTAATTTGACAGTCTGCCTGTTGCTTTACTGCAAGACAAATTATTAAGTGAAAAGGGCAAAGTAAGGGATGGTGTATATAATACAATATGGTTAAAAAAGAAAAACAAAAATAAGAAATGACCTTTACATTTGCTTGCATCTACCTAAATAAACTCTGGAATAAGACAAAGAAAGGAGGTTGGTTACACACGAGAGCGGGGTGAGAAACAAGGAGAGAGACTTTTCTGTGTGCCATTTCATTTTCTTCTGATTATTTATTATTTATTATTTATTTATTTTTCTTCTGATTTTTTTTTAATTTTTTAATTTTTATTTTATTTTATTGATTTGGTACAGAGAGGAAGGAAGAGAGATAGAGAGTTAGAAACATCGATGAGAGTCATCGATCAGCTGCCTCTTGCACCCCCCCTACTGGGGATATGCCCTCAACCAAGGTACATGCCCTTGACCGGAATCAAACCCGGGACCTTTCACTCCCCAAGCCAACGCTCTAACCATTGAGCCAAACCGGTCCCGGCTTCTTCTGATTTTGTAAACAGGGAGTGAGTTAACTATTCAAATCATTAAATTAAAGAAAATTACCTCCTTATTGTGGAATGTTATGCAGCCATTTAAAATAATGTAGGGGGGGAAAAAGAGCCGAAACTGGTTTGGCTCAGTAGATAGAGCATCGGCCTATGGACTGAAGGGGCCCAGGTTCGATTCCAGTCAAGGGCATGTACCTTGGTTGTGGGCACATTCCCCGTGGGAGGTGTGCAGGAGGCAGCTGATCGATGTTTCTCTCTCATCGGATGTTTCTAACTCTCTATCCCTCTCCCTTCCTCTCAGTGAAAAATCAATTAAATATATTTTTTTAAAGAAAGAAAGAAAGAAAGAAAGAAAGAAAGAAAGAAAGAAAGAAAGAAAGAAAGAAAGAAAGAAAAATAAAGCAAAAACAAAATAATGTAGGAAATATAGGCATTGACTTGGGAGGAAGTCCATGACATAGGATATGTAAAACACAGATTGTAGAATTAAGTATTTAAAGTATCTGAGAACCAGGAAATGGTTTCAATTTATTTCAGGTCCTTGGAAGGCATTTTAATCCTTGGAATATATGGTTTTAAAAATAAAAACCACAGCCCTAGCTGGTTTGGCTCAGTGGATAGAGTGTCGACCCACAGACTGAAGGGTCGACAGACTGAAGGTTTGATTCCGGTCAAGGGCATGTACCTTGGTTGCAGGCTCAATTCCCAGCCCTGGTAAGGGTGCAGGCAGGAAGCAATCAATTGATGTATCTCTCTCACATAGATGTTTCTCTCTGTCTCTCCCCCTCCCTTCCATTCTCTCTAAAAATCAATGAAAAAATATCCTTAGGTGAGGATTAACAGCATATATATATATATATCCCACAAATAAAAATGTTTACAATGTAAGTAAAAAATTTTAAACAGCATATTCACTGTATGAAATATGTATA